CAAAGAAGGACATAAAAAGATGTGTATTTTTATGATTATTATTTATTTTAGTGATTCAACATACATCTATAAAAAATCGTAGACATCATTCGTAAGTTTCATAGAAATCATGGGTAATTAAAGTGTTAAATTATCGCTTAAGCTTTTTCATGCATATGTCTTTTTATATAGTATCCTAATGCATATGTGTTTAGAATTTTTTTTATAACTAAATCAAACAAAATATTTAGGTGACTATAATTTCTCCACGGTTTCCGAGGCAACAAAGACGATTGCAACTGCAATATGTGCCAAGAGGACTATGAGAGTTGTACCATTTGAGAATACTTTTAACGGGAATGTACCGACGGGATTTTTCAACAAAGACGATTCTTTCAATTATATTCTTTTGCCGACGGAATTTTTCCGTCACCAAACTAACGACGAAAAAATTCCGTCGTTATTTCCGTCGTCTAATATGCCGCGCACTACCTCCCACCAATACAGAGCGGCGAAATGCTGATTCCGTCGTTAATTTTTGTAGGCGTAAAATTCTGTCGATGAATCCGTTGTCGTTAGCGTCGAATTGAACTCCGTCGCTATAATCTGTCATTTTTTTCGCATTTTCTTGTAGTGACTCAATGAAGAGCTTTAACTTGTATGCAAACTACTAAGTAAATATGACAGATACAGTGTTGTAACACTCACACAAGCATGTAAAGCAGAAATAATAAAGAGACACACGCACAATATGTTTACGTAGTTCAGAGCTGAATCTCTTACGTTGCGAGACCCACGTCCGTGTAACAGTCCCTCACTATATCATTGTATAGTAAGTTTTACATCAATCAAACACAAAAGCCACTTCTAGAGTTTTGACAGTGTTAAATATAATAGTGACGTGTACAAGGTAATAAATATTTATGAGTTATAATGTAGTATGTGTAATAAATTAAAGTACCGACTAAAAAGTAATTATGGTAATTAAATTGTCGTGAAGTATATTATTCATCAATAAGCTAATTCCATACCTTAAAATTTTTATTATTGTGATATAAAAAGCATATTAATTATGATACCGTGTTATAAAAAGTATAATTAACACGGATGATAAAAGTATAATTTTTAAATCCATTTTATAAAAAGTATAAATATTACTTTTTATAGTACCGTGTGAATAAAAGTATTCTCATACCAAATATTTTTTGGTACGATATTGTATATTATAAATAAATTTAAACGGTATGAGAATACTTTTATAAGCAACGTATTTTAGATAAGGATGATATTTACACGTATTTTATAAAGCAAAGTAATAATAATAATAATAATAATAAGGTATGTTCCTTTTATGTGATTTCATTAGAAGCAACGTAGTAATAATAATAATAATAATAATAATAATAATAATAATAATAATAATAATAATAATAATAATAATAATAATAATAATAATAATGTATGTTCCTTTTATGTGATTATCGTGTATAGAAATTTACACGGTATGAGAATACTTTTATAAGCAACGTATTTTACATAAGGATGATATTTACACGTATTTTATAAAGCAACGTAATAATAATAATAATAATAGTAATAATAATAATAATAATAATAATAAGGTATGTTCCTTTTATGTGATTATCGTATATAGAAAATTACCATCTTTGAAAAAAAACATGAAAGCGTTGCATGGAACAAAAAAGTGTTCTCATGCCTTAAAGTATCAAAACTTAAATCACAGTTGTGTTTCCATTTATAATTTTTAGTTATTTTAAATAAAGTGCTTTTCTTATACACAGTTTTGATAAGAAAGAATTATAAATACATGTTGATAATAAAAATTTTAAGTTAAAAATGGAATGTTCAAATCCTAATAAGAAACACCAAAAAATGATCAAAGAATAATTGTGTTTCCTTTTTTACTTTATAGGTATTTTGAATAAGGTAACTTCATTATAAAAATGTAATAATAATAATATTAAAAAAAGGTATGTTCCTTTTTGCGATTACCGTTTATAAAAAATTACCGTCATTAAAAAATTGAAAACGTTGCCTAGAACAAAAAATATTCTCATACCTTAAAGTATCGAAATTAAAATTACAGTTGTGTTTCCATTTATATTTGATGGTATTTTAAATAAAGTAATTTTCTTATACACAATTTTGGTAAGAAAGAATCATAAGTACACACGTTGATAATCAAAATTTAAGTTAAAAAAGAATGATGAAATGATAAGTAGCACCAACCGTGTAATTTGGCTGAAAACATTACATTGTAATTTTAAAAATTAAAATTCGAAAAAGGAAATAAAATAAAATAAGAAAAAAAAATTTCATAGTATAAATACGATCATTTGCAAAGATTTTTGTAATTAGTTTCTTTTGAGTGCATTTTTAAATCCATGCAGTGAAAAAATGATTTTAATTTAGTAACGTAAATATGACCCGTGCAACGCACGCATGTGATACTAGTGTGATGTGGTGATGATGTGGACGAGAAATGATGATTGAATGGATGGATTTTTAGTTAAGGTCCCACTATTTATTTGGTTTCATATTTTAAATTACTCTCACCGTCCCACAATGGATACCACACTCTAAAATCATACAAAATCTCATCATTTTTGAAACCTTTTACTTACAAGTGGTATATAAATAAAAAGTATAAATTACATTGTTCAAAAATATGTAAAAAAATTCTGTGAAACAAGAGCTCACAAGAATATTTTAGTTTACAAACAAAAAGACTTATCAAGAAGCCGTAATAGTAACACTGGCATCCATTTTGAGACGGTGGGAGAACAATAATATTTATATTATAGTAAGTAATTAATTCAATTGATATAATCACTTTTTAAATTTAATCAAAATTATTTATTGTAATTAATAATTAACTATAGTAATAAACTATAATTAATATAATGTCTTTTAATTATTTAATATTAAGTTTTATTTTTTATTTTTATTTTTATTTTTCTTTTTGGAAACAAGATTTTAAATTTTATCTAGTAATTTTAATGCTATTGAATTTACATTAATATTAAATTATTGTAATTATCTTCTCTAATTTGATTCTTCTAAATATAAATTATTTAATTTATAAATATTTTATCTAATATTTTTTTTAATTTTTTATTCATCTAATATGTTATAATAAAAAATTAATATTATTTTGAGTAATACGTAGCTAGTACAAAGTATGAATAGTTTAGGAATGTTTCTATGGTGCACCTTGGATACATATATCATTTTTATGGACCTTCTTACTTAATTTTTTTTTAAATTTTTTTATTTTAAAAAACAAATACTTATTTAAGTAGTATAAAAATTTTTATTTTACTAATATATAGGCGTATGGTGGATCTTAGATCGATTGTAAAATTTGCCATAATTTAAAATAATAAATAAGTAAAATACAAGTAGGACCTATGAATAGTTAAATGTAGGGGTGAGCAAGTACCGAACCGATACCGAAATTTCCCGAAAAAACCGAGAATACCGAACCGAAAAATACCGAAACGAAAAAATACCGAGAAGGAACCGAACCATACCGAACCGAATGGTCGGTACGGTATTTGGGAACGGTACGAGGGGACGTCCCATACCGAAAATCCCGAACCGAGCATATATACTAAAATATTATAAAAATAATATCCCGGAGTAATATTTTTATATTCCTTCACTAAAAAATACTCTGGGTAATTTTTTTTAAAAAAAAAATTGGTTCAAGTAAGTTTTTGTGTATGAACATAAAAGTATTCACAAAGATTTGAAATACCTCTTTATTGTCATTCATTTTTTTAGTTTGTGAAATATAAACTAAGTTTTGATACACATCTCTTGCATTTAAATATTCTTTTTTTTTAATTTTCATGTTTTTTAAAATTCACTTTTTAATTTTCAAAAATAAAGGGGCATTGTTAAATTTTAACGTGTAAATTAAAGTAGGTATGTATATTCATCCCGATTTGTACCGAAACCGATACCGAACTATCACGAACCATACCGAACCGATATTTTGGGATCGGGATCAGTACGGGGTAAAATCCCATACCGAACTCGTCCGGCCGTTGCCGTTGTTGTTCGTACGAAGCTCCTCCGTCTGTCAATTGCCATGGTGTTTGGTTTCATTCTATCAATTACTGTCTGTCCGTCGTTTGTGTTGGTCGGTCGAAGAGTATCTGTCGTGAATAATTAATTCCGAACAATTTGCATTTGTGAACAAATTGCAATTTTTGCAAAAGAATAACAGCCAATTGAGTTTGTCAATTAATTGCTTCTGAGAGTATTTCACTTGGGTTAGAGCACTGGTAATACGCCTCACGCCCACCGGCGTTACGGGGCGTTTAACGCCCCGGGGGCGTGAAACACCGCCCCCGCCGGCGTTAAAGGGGCGTGAGGAGTCCTGCGTCAAACGAATGACGCGGCGTGAGTCTTCTCCCCTCCCTCCTAACGGCTTTTTTAGCCGTTGCAGCCCACATTTCAAAAAAAAAAAATTCCTATAAATTCAACCCCCAAACCAATCTCTCACACCTTTTCTTCAATCTCTTCTTCTTTATTATTTTTAAATTTCGAAATTCAAACCCCCCTCCCAATTTTCAACATGAATCCTTTCGGCTCCGGCTTCTTTCCCGACGATCTCCCGCCGAGTGATGCCGCGATGTGGTTCTACCAAGAGTGGGGCGATCGACCGCCGATCAATGAGACGCAACAATCGGGGTACGTCGACCGATGTTCGGTTCCGGAGACTCAACCGGAACCGTCCGGATCGAAAAAAAGTACACGCCGGAAAAGTCACAAAGCCAAAAGCACGTTGACCGAGGCGGCACGGTCAATCAAAAAGTGGTCGCCGGAGGAGGAGTGCATATTGGCGTCGGCTTGGGTTGACGTCTCCGAGCATCCTATCATTGGTAAAAAATTTATTTTTTCTAATATATTTATGTTTTTATTAATATATATTATATTTAATGGTGTCTAAAAAAAATTATGTAATACATTTTTAAAGGTACGGAGCAAACGAAGGATGCGATGTGGGATCGTATCGAGGAGAAGTTCTTCACGGCGATGAAGAAGGACGGCTCCTACCGAACCCGGGACCAACTCACTTCCAAATGGTGCCACATCAACAAAAAAGTCCGAAAGTTTATGGGAGTTTACGAGGTATGCTCCCGGTCCCGGAGGAGCGGCACGAACGACGCCGATGTTCTCCGGCTTGCCACGACCCGGTATCAAGACGACGGGAACCAAGGCAAGGTGCCTATCGATCTTTGGAAGATTTTGAGTCGTTCCCCGAAGTGGCAACAACTCAACAATCCCGACGGCGGATCATTGCGGAAAAGATCCACCGTCGCCGCCGAGGTTGAGGTCGACGAGACTATCGGTTCTACCGATCAAATCCCTCCCTTCAACGTTGCGGATTCCGATGACGAGGACCCCATTCCACGGCCGATCGTAAGAAAGAAGACAAAATCCATTGCCTCTGGTTCGGGAGGGTCCGCCTCTGTTTCCGCTTCTCCCCGCGACGAAATCGGCCGGGCTATGATTGAACAACTTCAGGCGTTCAATCTCCAAGAACAAGAGAGGTTGAAGCTTAAAGAGAAGGAGTTGAAGCTAAAGGAGCAGGAGGCCGAGATGAAAGTCATGCAAACCGACCCCGGGACGTTGTCGGAGTTTGGACGAATTATCTACGAGCAAAGAATGAGATAGATCAAGGAGAAATATAATTTACCTTAGTTTTTTTATTAATGTATCTTTTTTTTTCAAATTATTTTCGCTTTTTTTATTTAATTAATGTGTTTTTTTATTATTCGTGTTTCAATTTAATTAAATAATAAATTAAGTACATTTTATTAATTTAATTTTAGAAGATGTATATTTAAAAATGTAAAAAATGAAGGTTTGAAGCCCAGTTTTGAAGCCCGGGGTTTCAAACCCATTTCCAGTGAATTTTGGGTGTAAGTTAAAGCTGACGTGGCAGAAAGAGAAATTTTGAAGCCCCGGTTTGAAGCACTGGGGCTTCAAACGTATTACCAGTGCTCTTAGTTTGCCTAATGGATCACGCGTGATATTTGTTTGCCTAATGGGTCTCGTGTTCTCGCACACCAACAAGGAAGTGTGTGATTTTAATCTAATTTGGTTCTCTTTGGCGAATTGTTTGTGCCTAATCTATATTATCATTTGAAATTTGTTGGTTGTCTTATTTGTTATAATGCTTGACATGTAATTTTTAATGATCAAAAAAATGGAGATTGGACGGGTGAACTACGAAATGATGTGTATGTCTTTCGTCTCCTTTCAGCCACAACATCCGCTTCCACAATTGTTCCAGTTCTTTTACATCAACGATTGGGTCATCTTTCCCCTAATGTGTCATCTTTTTAGGTATCTACAAAAGCAACTCTTCTCTTAAGAAGTTGCAAACTTGTGAAATTTGCTTCTTGTCTAAACAAACTTCTTTTACTAGTTGAAATAAAGTTCATGCAATTTTTTATTTAATCAATTGTGATTTATAGGATCCTTATTCGGCATGCATTTCTTCAGGTGTACATTACTTACGATTGTTAATGATCACTCACGGGGCAGTTTGGGTGTACCTTATTAGGACTAAAAGTGAAGTCTTTTCTGGTGTTAAACATCTTTTGCCAAGATCTATACGCAGTACTTTAAAACTACTCCCTCCGTTCACAAATAAACTTCTCGTTGCGCGTTACGATGTTTGACTGAAGTTATTTACAAATCATTTTATATGAAAAATGGTGTAAAATTTAAAAATAAAAATTACATATTAAAAAACTATATCAAAATATCTACAAAACTAGAGGTGATATGACTATATTATTTTATCAAATGTGTGTCGAAAATAGGCCAACAAAGTGAATAAAGTTTAACTCTATGAATAGTGAATGAGAAGTTTATTTGTGGACGGAGGGAGTATTAAAGTCATTTGTTCAGATAATAACACCGAGTTTCTAATTAACACCCTTTTTCGTCAATATTATGATGCAATAAGCGTTTGTATTCAAACATCATGTGTCGGTACTTCACAAAAAAATGGATGGGCTGAATATAAACATTGACATATTCTAAATATTGTCTGTTCTCTTATGTTTCAAGCATCTCTTTCTATTGAGTTCTAGGGTGAGTGTTAAAAGAATTGTCTACCTTTTTAGTCATACACTAACCAAATTAAATTATTCGGAGGTAAGTCTCCCGTTGAGATTCTTACTTCTAAATATCTACTCCCTCCGTCCCATGAAAAATGAGACTTTTGCTTTTTAGGAGGGATTTAAGGGAGTATATTTTGGTATTGAATTTCCAAAAATGTCCTTTGATGTGATGGGTAAAAGTATGATTTGATGGATAGATTATTAGTAAAAAGGTATGATGTGATAGTTAGGATATTAAAAAGTAAGGGGTAAAAGTGACTTTTTAATAGAAATGAGAAGTGTTTTGTGGGACGGATAAAAAAAGAAAGGAGAAAGGTTTCATGGGACGGAGAGAGTAGAAGTTAATGCAATATTTGTGACAAGAATATTATTATTATTCCAATTATTAGTTAAATATGTGACGACATTAGTTACCCAAATGATGCCTTGGCCCAAAGTTTTGTCCTGTATGTGTACAATTTATTTATTCTCTACAAAAGCGTTCAATAGTGTAATCACCCTTCACAAATCAAACCGAGAAGACTTTCAAATTTTTCGTAGCTTTTGCATTATTAGAAAAATTAGCTAATTCTTTTCGTCTACTCCCTGAGAGACACGACACTTGAAGAAAATTGACCCTTTTGAGGAAGATTAACTTCACTAAAACTCTTCTATCAGTGGGTGTACAAGACAAAATACAAGTCTGATGGGACCAAAGAATGTGACAAAGCGAGGTTAGTTGTTTTAGGCAATCTTTAGGAGTTAGGCATTAATTATATGGATATTTTTGATGTAAAAACTCATTTTTAAAATAGTTTATTTTCGATGTAAAAAATCATTTAATATGAAAATACAAAGCAATATTCTTCTCTTTTAATTGATTCACGGTGTTTGAGCGAAGCTGAGAGACCATTTTTATGTGATTTTATTTTAAAAATTGACTAATTTGGAAAAAAATTCGATAAGAAATGATCATTTTGAAAAACAAGTACTCCCTCCGTTCTCAAAAACACTTCCTCTTTCATTTTTTTCCACTTCCAACAAAACACTTCCTCTTTCTATTAAAAAACCAATTTTACCCTTATTTTTTCATACCCTACCTATCACATCATACTTTTTCTCTAATAATCTATCCATCATATCTTACTTTTACCTATCACATCAGGGGCAAAATTGGAAATCAACTACTCCCTCCGTCCCAATTTCAATCGTCTGTTTTGACTTTTGGGCATATTTAAGGAAAATAAAAAATAGAGTTGATTTTCCGAAATTGACATTACTTTTTAGGAGGGGTGATGATGAATGAGAAGATAAGGTGAAGAAGTGTGACTTATTTTAGGGGTAGTTTAGGTATTTTATTTTTAAAAGTTTACGAAAACAACTAACAGGCAATTTATTTTGGGACGGAGAAAAAAGGCAAACAGACAATTTAAAATGGGACGGAGGGAGTATAATTTAACACTTCCTTATTTTTGCCCCCAAATCAAAATGGGAAGTCTTTTTGCAAACGGAGGGAGTATAAGTTTTAATGTCTCTTTGACTTTATTTTAATGGTGGTTAGTCGGAAGGACTACATTGGGCATTATTTTCAATTAATGAGAATCGTCTCAATAATTAATTTATCTTAAAGACTAATTTGAAAAAACACATTCGAAGTACTCCCTCCGTTCACTGTCTTTGTCCACTTACCTTTTGGCACACCATCGAATGCACTTCTTTAATCCATTTTATCTTGTAATTTGTATATTAAAAAATTATATATTAATAATCTATATGTTAAGACGAATCAAACAAGATCACACATGACTATTTTTAGCTTACACATTGAGAGAATTTGATGAGTCAAAGTGCTTAGATGAACAGTTCCAAAAGTTAAAAGTGGACAAAGACAGTGGGACAGAGGTAGTACGGAGTAATTGTTTTTTACTCCGTGCCATTTTAAGAATTTCAACTGAGACACTTGGCAGAGAGCAAAAACTTTTTGAATACTCCTATTTTGAAAGAGCAATGCTAGGGGTACACCAAAAGGTGTACCCCAAATGTACCTCTTTCTCCACCACACATTTTTATTTGATTTTTATTTACTTATTTTTTTAAATTTTTTTGCTTTTTTTAATGGACAAGGAAGGGGTGGGGGATATATGGGGTAGCATTTTTCATTTTGAAAACCCAAAACTTCCACTTCCCGCCCAGTCAAAAGCTTTATTTTTATCCGGTCTCACTTTGTCGCAGGCCATAAAAAACCGAACCAAATAGTGATATTGAGAGAGGGGCCGTAGAAAACGAATGCCGACGTCTTCATTTCGCCGGGTAAAAGAGCGCGGCGGCGCTGGTAGTAAGTTAGGGGCTCCGGCCACATCTATGGCGGGGACAAAGATTTCCAAAACCCTTACGCCACTTTCCCAGAAATCCGGTGTCGGCGGTTGCGACGCCGGCGGGGAGAGTCTCCGGAGATCCAGCGGGAAAGAGAACCCGAGACCCACTTCTCGGGTCCGGGCGGCAACGGCGTCGTCTATGCAGAACAAGAAGCCAACGCTCCGAGCCATGCCTCGGATCGACAAGTCATCTGCGTCTTCAATTGACAGCGGGGAATCACGCGCAGAGCCACGGGCGCGCTGGTCTACTTCGTCCGTTCCCAGAGGTAGGAGTTCTAGCCCATCTGAATTCAGAAAGAATTTGTCGGATTTACGAAAATGCCCTAGGGTTTCTAGAGTTTCAGGGGAGCAAAGTAAAGCAACCGCCGGTGATAAATCTGGAGCGGAGCAAAATAGTGATTTTTTGGAGAAATGTGATGTTAAATCGGAAATAAGTGGAAAATTGGGTTCGAAAGCTTCAAAGTTTTGTGATGACAAGGATAAAGATGCTATTTTTAGCTCGGATTTGAAAAAATCAAACTTTGCTGCTTACAGAATGCAGGCTAATTTAGATTCTGATTCAAAAAATCGATCTTGGGATGAGGGAAAGGTGAAATCTTGTGCTGAAAAGAGCTCAAATAGTGTTGAATCAGGTTCAAAAGATTTGAGAATGCTGACCAAATCGAGCAGTTTGAAAGAGAAGGGTGTCAAAGAAGAAGGGAAGAGTGGTCTGTGTGCTAATAAGTACCCAAGTAAGCTTCACGAAAAACTTGCATTTTTGGAAGGGAAGGTCAAAAGGATTGCTTCTGATATCAAAAGGACTAAGGAGATGCTAGATACGAACAATCCTGATGCATCAAAGTTGATACTCTCTGATATCCAGGAGAAGATTTCTGGAATAGAGAAGGCAATGTGCAGAGTTGAAGAAGTTGGGACACTAGGGGGTTCAAGAAGTCAAAATGATGAGAGGAAGGCTCAAGAATTTGTGAATATGGATGTGAAAAACGAGGTTGAAAGGAAAAGATTTGGCAGTGGATTGAACGCCGAGGAGTTGGAGGCAAGATTGTTTCCTCACCACAAGCTGCTTAGAGATAGAGCGTCCATGAATGCATCTGGATCAACCTCCAAAGGTCAGCAACTGAAAGATGAGTTTTTGACTAATGAATCAATCAAGAAAGAGAAGCCCGTTGGTCCAGTTGATCAAAACCCCATAGCAATAGAGTTCTTGGCTTCTATGAATAAGGAGCAACCCAAAGCCACTACTCAAGTTGAGAATGCTGATTTTGAGATGATGGATGCCCAAGATGTGGATGATGTCGTTAATCCATCAATACAAGATTCTTCCATGGAAGTTATCAACGAGACAAATAATATTGATGATATGCTAACTAGTGATGAAAAACTTAATGAATTTGAGGATCAAGAGAACACCCCCTCAATTAACATAGAGGACGACACTGAGGACAATAGCATGTATCAGTTAAATGAGATTGGGCATAAGACCTCAACTGGCGGATGGTTTGTGTCTGAGGGAGAATCGGTGCTTCTTGCACATGATGATGGTTCGTGTACCTTCTATGATATTGTGCATTGTGAGGTGCGTAATCTATTGCTGTTATGTTTCATAAAAATTAAAACTTTTTGTTTATTACCCAGTGTAGTGTTTTGTTTATAATAATAATCATAAATATAAATGAATGATTGTTAGATAAATATATTTATTTCTTGATTTTTAACATCTCCACATGGCTTATGTTTATCAAGTGATACGCCTTATGGCTAACGATTTGGTGCATGTAACTGAATTGAAATAAGCAGTAAATGGTTTTTTTTCCAGGTGAAAGCTGAGTATAAACCTCCACTTTGTGTTATGCCACATATATGGCAAGACTGTTGGATTGTCCGTGCTCCGGGTGCAGATGGTTGTTCAGCAAAATATGTCGTGGCAGCGTCTGCAGGGAATTCTATAAACTCTGGTTTTTGCTCTTGGGACTTTCATAGCAGAGATGTGAGAGCTTCTCACTTTGAGGATGGCTCTTCTACCATCACTGCCACAAGTACAAGAACTGCGCTTGCACCCATATCCAATAACACTATGCGCAGAAGAAATTCGTTGTCAACAGTTGTGCCTACTGAAAATCCACAGTGGTGGTATAAACCATGCGGTCCACTCATCATAGCAGCTGCTAGTTGTCAAAAAATGGTCAGAGTATATGACATTCGTGACGGGGAACATGTGATGGAATGGGGTTTGTCTAAGCCCTTGTTGGGAATGGACCATTCAAGTCCTTTGCAATGGAGGAGCAGAGGGAAAGTAGTTATGACCGAGACGGATGGTATTTCTTTGTGGGATGTGAACTCAACTAGTCCTCAAGCTTTGCTGTCCGTTTCTTCTTCTGGACGGAAGATATCTGCACTTCATGTGAGTAACACAGATGCTGAATTGGGTGGAGGAGTTCGACAAAGGTAATTTAACTCTTACACATATCTTGCTCAATGGCTGTTTTTAGGACACTATTGCTTCTTATTCATATACTCCTTTTGTCTCCAAATGGATGTCGTATTGCGATTAACGAAGCTTGATTGAACATATAATCACTTCAATTTAACAAATGATTAATGAAAATAGGTAAAGGAAGAAGATATAGTTTGACCTATGAATAGTTTACCATGCCAACCATTTGGGGACAGGCCTGGAGTATACAGGAACACCTCTATACAAGAAGACACTATGTAAAAGTATGGGATATCTTTTATTTTATTATAAAAAGATTGAACTGAATATACTCCATTTATCAATAACAAATCCTCTGAGTTCCGAATATGTTAATCACTTAAGTGCCCATTAAGCGTTATGCATCATCTATGCCTATATGCTGCCCCTTTAAACTCTAACAACTCTGCGTAAAGTTTCACATATGATTATATCATCGTGTTTTTCAATGTAAAGTTTCTTTAAGTAATGAAGAGTCTATTTTTATTCGTAGTTTTTTCTCCCAAGCCACACTTCTCACTTGAACCGATTCCGATCCATAATTCCATACATACGTGCATACATAGATTTTTTTGAAAGATACATGCCTAGAGAGTTGGCAAATTGGTCGGCCACAAGGTTCATTTACTTCGGGTTTAGGTTACTTCAAATTCGGGTTTGGGTTGAGAAGTGTATGTTCATAACCCAGTGTCATCAGATTTAGGTGGATCCTACGGGTTATGATTTTGATTTTTGAAATTTTTAAATTCATATAAATACCTGCATTTCGCATTAAATAAAATTAAAATATCAAAAAGTATGTATTAGATCTATTATATTATTTTATTTTAAATTTTGAAGTAATTTTTAGGTATATAAATCAAATAAAGAATAAAAAATGCATAATTTTTGGAAAAAAGTAAGATAATAATGCAATATCATTAAAATTTTGTTCGAAAATATAAATTTATACCTTAAAAACAAGTAGTAAGAAAAAATATAATTATAACCTTGTTTTTATAACAATATATTTCATAGTAAAGTATATGGTTTTGAAAAAACTCTTACATTAGCGGGTCGGTCAGGTCGGGTTTGGTCCGGTCGGGTTTGACGCATTTTCAGCGGTTCATTTCGTGTTCGGTCATCAAAACCTTTGTTCAAAACCCAATATTTTCGGATCGGGTTTTGGGTAAAAAACAAGCCGGGTCATATTTTACCAGGTCTAATGATGCTTACATAGATATAAATGTATGTATATGCAATTATGCATATGTGTATATATCATTGCCAGAATGCCAGAAGAGACTAAACATATGAAAATACTAATGCATTGGCTGTTTAGTCATAAACGATATATATTAAGTTATGAGTAATGCTCTCATTGGATGTGGCTAACCAATTCTGTATGATCTAAGCCGTTGGATTCGTATCCGGTCAACACAATCAACCATCCAGCGGCTCAGATCATCTATGTCAGACAGAATTGATATGAGGTCACAAGTTTGAAGTCATACATAGTATATAACTGAAACCTGGAACAATATATGTTACTCCCTCCATCCCAAAACGAAGTTCATACTTTCTTATTGATGTCCCAAAATAAGCCTTAGACTTTCTTACTTTCCTATTAGGGAAAATAGTACGCCACTCGAAGGCTATTCTTATATTTAGGTTTTAATTTGTACCATATTTGCTTTGAAATTGGATGCAGAGTGAGTTCGTCGGAGGCAGAAGGAAACGATGGCTTCTTCTGCACTTCAGATGCCATCAATGTCTTAGATTTTCGCCATCCATCCGGCATTGCCCAGAAGATACCCAAAGTTGGTGTGAATGTGCAGTCTGCATTCTCTAGGGGAGACTCAATCTACCTCGGCTGCACAACTTTGAAATCAGCCATTAAACGGCAGTTCTGTTCCCAGATCCAGCAGGTCTCATTGCACAAGCCGGGTGTTCTGAACACGTACCCATTGCCCGAATCATCTGCTCACTCTCATCACAGTGCTTTAGCACAGGTTTGGGGGAACTCAAATCTTGTCATGGGAGTTTCTGGGCTCGGCCTGTTTGTATTTGATTCATCCAAGAAGGATGACAGGTTCCAGCCCTCTGGCTTGGATCAAACAGATGACACTAATCTGCCACAAATGATTGGTCCCGACGACTTGTTTTCGCCTTCTTTTGATTTCTTGGCATCTCGGGTTCTCTTGATATCACGCGACCGACCCGCTCTTTGGAGGTACTTGTTTTAGGGACTGCTTTGGCCTTTTGGATTCAACATTCTTAGATTGCTCCTTTTTTTTTTCTTTCTAAATTTGTTAGTGTGTGGCATTTTCTTGTTGCCTTTCTACATGACTGAACAAGATGGATGTTCCTGCTGGGTTTTTTCCTAGTAAAAGTTCCGGTTTTCTAGGTGTGCTTATGAATGTTATTGTGATGTACATTAGATAAACAAGATATGGGATCTGGTGAAACAAATTTTAAGCTTGCTGTGTTTTATGGTTAGTATCTTTTATTGCTTTTGCTTCAAGACCGGCGGTGGCCTTATATAGGTGCCATTGAAGGAACAAGTGTTGGCCCACCAAAATAGAGAGATCTCAGTATAGAGTGAAAAACCAAAACTTAAATCTATTCAGTTTTGTTTTTGTGTTTTTAAAAAATAGCAAAACATATCATTTATCTCCAAAATAGATGTTCTATGTGTTCTTAAAGAGAAATGCTAGAGTCACAAACACTTTGATCACAAAATACACAACCTTGCTATTTGTGCACCTCACTAAATTAATAAAATGATGTTGAATAATTAAAAAGTAAACATTTAAATACACAAATAATAAGTTTGTGTTTTTTGTGACCGAAGTGTTTGTGACTCTAGCATTTCTCGTTTTTAAATAGAAGTTTGCATTCTGACAATACAACATTGTATATTGGGATCACACAATGTTTTTTGGTATTATATATTAACATTGTAACTCTTGTTTTGAGAATAAATTAAAAATATAAAACTCTAATTTTTGTATTTTCTCTATATTTTGTTCCTAGTTTAGCAATTTTTCTTATTATTTCCTCAATAGTTTGGTTTTTTAATAGTTCGATTAGTTGATTTACAAATGAGTTTGCGACTTGTGGTTTTCCCAACACACACCTTGCATCCCTACTATTGGTGATTTTAGTATTATCGACTATTTTATGTAATTGGATTTACTTAGATCATGCAAAAATTTGAATTGACGTTGTTAAGACAAGTTAGGAGGTGCGGTGCACACACCCATGTTACAAATTCATAGAGGGAGATTCAGGGGCAGCAACCCCTGGTAGCGTTCAAGGGGCAGAGCCCTGGGATGGGACAACTAATTTTTTTTATTTTAGACATTAATGCTTTACGAAAATTATTTAGTTTTTTTGTGAACGGAGTCTAAAACGCTTAATCTTTTAACGTATGAGTGTGAGAATACGTTTAAAATTGGCATAAACCCCGTGTAGTAATGTGGCACTCCACTATGTATAAATATTTTACAATGCTAGTATTTTTTAGTAATGTATATGGTTATGAGTCGCACTTTAAATGCATCTTAATTTTAATTTCGAGAATAGAAACATAGAATTCCTATTTTGGTATATTTCTAATGGTTTACCCATACTTTAGTCTTTTTCCCAAATTAAAATCTATCTGAATCGATTTATATCCAAATCGTATCTGAACCGACTAGGAACCGAACCGAGAAAAAAAATGTATGAAATCAAATCAAATTCGAACCAAAATTAACCAAACCGATTATAATGTATATCCGAAAAATATATGAATCTAATAAATCCAATCTAAAACCGATCTGATTGATCTGATTGTCACCTCTACTACTACCCCGACCTCCCCAACGGCTATACTACCGTTTAGCAGTAGTGGTAGCCCCCCTCCCCCTCCCAACATTCAAAATTCAAATTTGGAAAAAATCAAACGGGTCTAGACTGGCCGATTCTCGTCCCTAATCCCTGTCCTACTACCGGTACTGTCTTGCCCGGTAAGTGTATCGTTTCCCCAGCATCGCCTGGCTGGTTTCGGTTTTAGAATCGCTGGTTTCAGTGTTGGTTCGGATCCAGAACTGTGTCTTGGTGTTGCTTTAGTAAGAGAATGTGTATAATCAGAGTAAAAAAACAAATTTAGAGGATAACTACTCATTACAGTAATTAATTAAACTTCAACTCTCTTTGGAGACAACAATTTCGATTAGCATTTGTGTTTTAGATAAAAATTTAAAAATAGTGTAGATTAACTTTGGTAAAAGAAAATGCAACAAGTAAACGAAATAAACGTAACGATGTCGTTATATAGTCTTTTCAAAATGGTGACGCAAAAACGCACGACCTCACGCCGGAGGTGAGGATGAAGGGGGTGGAGCATTGGCGAGGTAAAGTCCGGTGGCAAGTAAGTGGAGGATTAAACCAGCTGCTCCACCGATCATGACACCTTTGTTGCCTAGAACAACCGCTATCCCTGCTGCGATGGAAAACAACCTGCAGACAGATATATATCATAAAAGTCCCAGCAATAAACAGAGAATATATAACCTTGTACTCCATCCGTTTGTAAAAAGACTTCCAATTTTGATTTGGAGAAAAAAATAAGGAAGTGTTAAATTATACTCCCTCCATTCCTTAAAACTCTTCCGCCCTAAATTTTTGCGCATCTCATTAAACGCTTTTACTCCCACCTAAAATATCTAAAAGATACCCCCACTATGTAGCTTATTGCGGGTAGAAGTTGTTTTAGGGGTATTTTAGACATTTTAGCTGGAATGGAAGTATTTTATGGGCTGCGCAAAAAATTAAAACGGAAGTGTTTTGTGGAACGGAGGGAGCAGTTGATTTCCAATTTTGCCCCTGATGTGATGGGTAAAAAGTAAGATGTGATGGATAGATTATTAAAGAAAAAATATGATGTGATAGATAAGGTATGAAAAAATAAGGGTAAAGTGGTTTTTTAATAGAAAGTGGAAGTGTTTTGTTGAAAGTGGAAAAAATGAAAGAGGAAGTGTTTTTGAGAACGGATGGAGTAAAATGTACAAATTAAACGGAAAAAATGTTGCACGTGTAACCAGGTACAAAAATGAAATAGCACAGCATGGTCGTCGCAGCAGCTACAGCAGTTGATACCAAAAGGCCCAACGTCTTTGTAATCAGCTACCCTAAACCGATAATATGCAACACACAGTTGCGCCACAACAATGAAGGCTGCCCCCAATCCCTTGAGCACCGTAAGAGGAGGAGGATTCCCCATCTGCATGCGCACACACACACACACATATTTAGAATTACAACCTGAGCTGCTACTAAAACATCCTCCCTCTCCCCCGCAAAACATTTCTTGTTTTGACTTTTGAGAAGGGAAACCGGAAATTATAAAAGTTTGATCAGAGTGAGACAACGATAATTGGAACGAGCTGGGCTCGAAAAATATCAAAATGGATAGGGCGTAGAAGGTAGTTAAGGTATGTTCGGTTAGCTAGATTTAAAAAAAAAAGTAAAGGATTTTGTGTTCATTTAAGCCAAAATGAAATGTTTTATGGGACAAACAAGACGTGAAAGTTGAAAAGTTTTCTGGATCGGAAGGGAGGAAGTATTTATTACAACCACAAGTATATCTATCTAATTGCTTTTAAATTGTAATTGAATTGGCTAAGTTATGCACGATTTAAGACTCTTTTTTTACCTAATGGTGTTAGAATATACTCCCTCCGTTTGCAAAAAGATTTCCCATTTTGATTTGGGGCAAAAATAAGGAAGTGTTAAATTATACGGAGTAGTTGATTTCCAATTTTGCCTCTGATGTGATGGGTAAAAGTAAAATGTGATGGATAGATTATTAGAGAAAAAGTATGATGTGATAGGTAGGGTATGAAACAGTAAAGGTAAAAGTGGTTTTTTAATTGAAAGGGAAAGTGTTTTGTTAGAAGTGGAAAAAATGAAAGAGAAAGTGTTTTTGAGAACGGAGGGAGTATATAAAAAGATTTTCTTGGACCACAACGACAAGCTTGAGCTTTTGGTTGAATTGGTTTCTTGACATTCTATCAGAGAGCCTTGTTGAACAAGAGGTCATGAGATCGAAACTCAACGTCATTGTGCCACTAAGTTTTAGAAAAAAGTATTTTCATGCAAGGCTCGAAAAGACTACGCTTGCACGTGAGGGGCTCAAAAAGATAATCAAAATTCCAAAATAAAAACAACACATTTTCTTTGTAATTTCTAGGAGTTCAGATGGCCAATGTCACAATTCCAATTGCCACGCCGCCGGTCGCTGATGTTTTGCACCGTTGACGTTGGTCCGATCCCCCATCGCATTCCACCATCACACTACCACCAACACACCACCATCATCCACAATGTCAGACTCCTACTTGGGGAATGAGAATAATGATGCACTTATTTTTCGTATTCTAAAGGCATTTTACTTCCATCTTTGTAGACAGACATCTAATTTCTTTAAGGCTCCGTTTGATACACGGAATTCAAACTATGAAATTGGAACTTGAGATAAAATTCCAACTCTGCTGTTTGGGAGCACAACAAATATGCATGTGAATTTAGAATTTGTAGTGCCAAAAATGAATTGGAACTGAAAGTTTCAATTCCTTTCAAATCAATTTCATAAAATTCCAACTCGCAATTTAATTTCAATTCCATCAATTCCGTATACCAAACGTACCTTAAAAGCAAATCTCGTATTCACATGATGCATATGTAATGAGTATATATAGGGAGTATTTAATTATTTACCTTAGAACACAATATTACGCCTGCAGCTACAACGTCCAACGTCAAGACGGCGATAAAATACTTTACCTTGGTTTCCATGTTAGGGTGAGGATGGATAGTTAGACAGTAAAATATTTATACTCCCTATTTTTTTGTATTACCGGAGTGAATTTATAAGAAGGCAATAAGGTAGTAAAGGTAGTAATATAGGGAGTATATATATATATATATATATATATATATATATATATATATATATATATATATATATATATATATATATATATATATATATATATATATATATATATATATATATATATATATATATATATATATATCATCAAGAAAAAGTGACTTTCACCAAATTTGAAAAAAAATACTTTGGGCATTAAAAAGTCTAAAAAGAATGGTTTGAAATTTACAAGAGACAAATTTCTCTTAACCACATACNTCCATGTTAGGGTGAGGATGGATAGTTAGACAGTAAAATATTTATACTCCCTATTTTTTTGTATTACCGGAGTGAATTTATAAGAAGGCAATAAGGTAGTAAAGGTAGTAATATAGGGAGTATATATATATATATATATATATATATATATATATATATATATATATATATATATATATATATATATATATATATATATATATATATATATATATATATATATATATATATATATATATATATATCATCAAGAAAAAGTGAC